ACACACACACACACACACAAGAATGATTAAATAAATTAATGAATGAACTGATAAATGGATTTAAGCATTTAAACACATACAAACGTGAGGGTCCCATTTTACCTTTCCAGTTGTCCCATTTCACCTGAACATGTCATCACAGTGAGGTAGGGGTTCTTGATGTGTTTAAAAGTCCAAAGTTTTTAACATATTGTTCTTGGCAACATATTTTCTTCATAGAAATATAGCAAAGAACCATACGTTCTAAAGGTGACACTTAGGGCAGTCTTTAGAAATGTAGGTGGTTTTCTTAATAATCCACCAAAACGTGTCCCACATTGTCTGACCTCACCCCACTTGCATGGCAGGGCTCTGGGTGACAGGCTCAACTGATGAATGTTTAGCCTTGTCTCGATCAATTTCAGTCTTCAGTTAGTCTCACAGCAGACTCCTGACTCAAGTCTGGAGAACAATGCTGATTTATATTGCCTTTTCTCAATTTTCTTAAGCGCAAATAATAAAGTTGCCGTAAAAAGTGCTGTAAATATATTTAAATGCTAATAACTATGTACTTTGGTTTATGTTAAGTGTTGAATTCAGGATTTTTACTTTAAAAGTAGTGTTTCTACACCGTGGTATTGCCCTTTTAAGTAAAAGATGTGAGTGCTTGTTGCAGCACGGTGTAGTTGTGCAGAGCTACATGACAAGTGTAAACACGACAGGCCCAGGTAGTAACGTTACGCAGTCACCACACACTCTACACGTGATATCAGGTCATTCAGGGCTAAGTATCCACCTGAGGCTCCGTGACATAGACAGCCTTGTCTCCCAGCTGAAGAAAGACGTTGTCTTCGGGTGGAACCGGGCTGGACCGCCGTCCGGCTGGGTGGCGTCCGGTCAGCGAAGCTGTGTTAGGTGCTGAGGCCGAGCTGGGGCAGAGTCTGAAGCTGAAGCTGCTGCTGTTCAGTCTGGACAGGCTGTTGCGGATCAGCACCGAGTAGCACTTGTGAAAGCGCACCCACAGATAGACGTAGCACAACGTTATTAACATCTTAATCAGCATACAGGAAGCGGGCCATCATGACCTTTCTTCTTGCCATGTAAGCAAATGTTGGTCACAGCGGACTTTACATTACTGACGAACTTAACGCTAGCTGTCAGCTAACTTCTTATTCTTTAGTTTTACTTGCTGGCTTCAAACCAACGTTAAAGGTACGTGCGCCGCCTACTGTACCGGAGTCTAACAGCATGCATTTTGCTCAACAAAAGCCGTCAAATAAAAGGGGGAAAAACTATAACCTAGTCGGCCGAAATAAGTTATATTCTGGATCTTAAACCGGTATTGTTTAAATATTTGAATAAATCTTTTTTGCATCTGTATCTCTTCCAGACCGCTGACACTCCCCTCCCATCCCACCACAACAGGCCCCCAGTGCACGCTAGTTACCAGTTCTGCGCCTAAACTACCTACCATAATCTTATCACCGCATGATCAAATAGAGACTTGACACTGGATAACTCCAATATACATATTACCCAGAAATCATCATCACATATACATGTCAAAAATACCAACTGGTTTAATTAATTTTTTTTTCATTTAATAGTGTAGTTTTTTATGGAGAGTAGGCATATATTTTATAACATATTTTTTTAATCTTTTTATTTATTTAACCTTTATTTAACCAGAAAAAAAAACTCTTTGGATTAAAAATCTCTTTTTCAAGAGTGCCCTGGCCAAGAGAGGCATCAACATCAGTTACAGACAGACAACATAGAACATAACACAAAATTTAAAAAAAAAAAAAAAAAAACATCTCTAAAACAGTTCATGAGGTTACTACCAAGAAAAGCCAAAAAGTATCTTAATATATATATAATCATCCATAAAAACTAACAGGGACACATGATCACAAAGACCAGCTAAAATATGCCCTGACATTGGCATATAGATGATTTCATACAAAAATCCAAATGTTTTGAAACAGCCGAGAAGAACCACTGAGTGCAATTTTAAGTCATTCTGCAGAAGATTAGAAGAAGCTGCATGCTTGCTTGCCAAACTCAGTACATACTGTAAGTATAGACAATAAAACATAAAGCAAAGCCATTTTCAATTTTTTGCTTAATGTACACACATAAATATGCTGGAAATAGGTCAAGAATAGCTTTGTAAACAAGAGAATGCCAATGAAAAAGTCTACAAAATTTTAAAGAGAGCCACCCAACCTGAGCATACAGGATAGTGATGAGTTAAGGGCTTACAGTTGGAAATGAATCTCAATGCACCATGACACACAGAGTCCAGAGTATGCAAACACTTGGTGGGTGCATTCAATACACACATTCATACACTTGTGACCTCGGCTACCATACAAGGCCCCAACTGCTCATCAAATAAACATAAAAATGCACTCAGTTTGAAGTTCAGTATGTTGCCCAACCACACCTCAACATGTAGTCCCTGTTTAGACGACAACGGTTTCTCTAAAAACAGAAAAGTCTGTCCTTTGTGTTTTAAAAAACTTCCGCGTTTATATGACGACGTTTGTAACTGTCGTGATTTTGAGTTCATAATTTTAACATGATTGTTTATAAATAACTTACCTTTTGCATACATGATTGTGATACTATTGCTATGTACAGTATATAATATGCTGAGAAATGTATTTACATTTATTTGATTTAATTGCACCCCCTGCTGTTAAGTATTGCAATGAGTGTGGTGTGTAGAGGTCATGTGATCAAAAGCGTCAAGTTAGATGGAGAGGAAGGAAACGAGAGCAGGAGTGCTACAAAATGTCCAAAGGGTTTTAAATGAATCAAGACGGATTCACGTTCTCCTAACTACTTCCAAATTCCGGTTCAGAAGGCGAAACGGTATGTGTGACCATGTTTATTTTATTGTGTATTTGTGTTATTGATCTGCAATATATATTTCATATTTGAGACTGACGTTCAGAGCTAGCAAGTCTGGGTTAGCTAATGTGATAGAGACCATGGTAGGTTAATGGCGGCTTTGTGTCGCATGCAATTATTGTAAATGTGATTGTGATTGTGTATATTTTGTGTTACAGTTTTTCACCACAAAATGGTGTTCACACTGTGGATTGGAGGAGAATAAAGTTGTGGAACACTGGCTGGTTGACTTGTCAAGTCTGTCTGAACTAGAACAAAACATTTGGAGGCAGTGACAACGTTATTGAAATGATCCCAATTCACACAGAGCCCCAAAATCTACTGGAAACGCTGTAGTATGCACGCCAAGCCAATGGGTGGCAGTGTAAATTTGCAAAGCAACACCACGGCATGACGCCACGCGCCTGCGCTGAAGCGCCTTCCTCTACAACGCGGTGATTACAAACCAAAACAAAGAAGACACAATGGCGAAAGCACGCATATGGAGGTGTTTTTGTGTCTTTTTGTTGCAATCATATAAAACTGTTTTGAGAGCATATTTCTTGAACTGCAATCAAAAATCAAGTTTGTAAGTAAAAACGTATGATCATTTTGCTTCTTTGCTTGCAAGTTAAAAACTTTTACTTGCATTTCAGTCCTCTTTGCTTGCGAGTTAAAAACTTTTGCTTGCAGATCAGTCCTCTTTGCTTACGAGTTAAAGTTTTGCTTGCAAGTTCAACTGCACTTAATGGGCTGGGCCTACGCTGATGGATAAGAGAAGAGTTTCTATTGGTGGGTTTGACGTGGCTCCATACAGAGCGGGCTACACCCACGATTCCTTCTCTCCCACTGGAAACGCTCGACAGTTGGCATTACTGCTACAACCCGGGGCATTGACGGTACTGACCGTTACGCTGGCTTCCCTGGCTAAACAAAAGCAATCTACATGCACCAGTTCAAATAAAACATTCTTGCTACTATTAGGCCTAGTCCACACGGACCCATGTACTTCTGAAACCATGTATTATTCTATGTGATTTGGCTGTTTGGCCACACGCAACCGCACTTTTGGGCCCCCGAAACTGCAGTTCTTTGAAACCGGAGTCCAGGGTGAAGTTTTTGGAAGACTCCGGTGCCAGCGGTTGTGTGTAGATAGGATAACCGCAGTATTTTATTACCTGTCTCCATTGTGTGACGTAAGAGCGACAGTAAATAGCTCTTTTCTAAAAGTTTACTAACTACTTAAATCCCACATCCTGTGTTAAATACAATGTATCTTAACTATTTTTACAATGAAGCTTGATTCTGCACTCTGCACTTAGCCCGTATGTGAATGTTTACCGTTGCTATGGCAACAAGTGACAGCTGATGTTAGCGTTAGTTAGCTTAGCTCAATTGTCTGACAAACAATAACCCATAAAATTATAATTCAACATATTTAAACAAAACCAACAACAGCTACCAACAGTTACAGTCCTTACAGCCTTAGCTAATTTGTTGTCACAGGTTAGATTGTCAAAATTACAGTAATAACAGCTTAAATCCCTGAGGAACTACGCTAGCATTGGTGATGGTTGCATCCACTCGTATGCAGTTACCTTACGTTACAGTTCTCTCAAGCAATATCACGAAGCACAATACAAACTATATAAACAAATTATTTATTAAGGGTACAAAAATATCTGAAGGTGCTTAGGTGACATTTACCCACCTGAAAGAATAAATGAAAACAAACGGTGATTTTGCTGGTCTTCAGTAGCTTTACTCTAGGTGTAACTGCCAACTGAAGAACCATCCGTTTTGCTCTTGTGCCTTTACTCAAATCAGTTATGCTTTAAATTGAATGGGGGGCATCTGTATGGTATCTGTAAAGATACAAAATCGATATCATATGCATAAAATAATGTCACAATTGAGCGGGTGGATACACATTTATACCCTATATGTCACACTAACTTTATTTGTGAGCATACTATCTGCTCTCTTTGGATGGCATATCCAGCTGCACGACCTAACGACCAACGAAGGAGGCTGCTCCTGTTGCTAGCTACCCCAACTACACTACCACAAAAGCAGCGATGGGCCTGCCAACGGAGGTTCTGGATCCAGCCAGGTCGGACCTCTGTTGGCAGGCCCGTCGCTGCTTTCGTGGTAGTGTAGTTGGTTGTTCAGGCACCTCTGCTGTTGAATTAGGTCGCGCTATTTTTGTGGATCAGGTTGTTTTTATTTTCCGCACTTCCTGGGGCGTCGGGGCCTTAGTGGATAGAGCAGGCGCCCCATGTACAAGGCTGTTGCCGCAGTGGCCTGGGTTCTACTCCAGCCTGTGGCCCTTTGCTGCATGTCATTCCCTCTCTCTCTCCCCCTTTCACACTCAGCTTTCCTATCGATTAAAGGCAAAAATGCCCAAAAAGTATCTTTAAAAAAAAAAAAAAAAAAAAAATTCCGCACTTCCCTTGTCCGGTATTGACTCTGACTTCTGATTGGTTAAAATGGCCTTTCCGTTAGAAGTTACATCGCCACCTACTACTTTGGCATGTGTATTACATCACTTGGTAGCGGGTTTTGCGGTTTTGTGTGGATATCATATTTTTTTATCACATCACTCGTGTGGACGAATTTTTTTTGGAAACCGGAGCCTGAAAAACTTCGGTTTCAGAATTGATTTTCGCCACAGCTCCCGCACTGAATTCCCCGTGAACTACAGAACTCCTATGTTGCTTTGCAAGCGTACTAGGCTGATGAGTAGAATTTAAGAAATAGGCTAAATGACATGATGTTGCACACTCTTGTACAGTAGGTGGCGGTATGCACCTTTAAATTGTTTGCAATTCGCAAATAAACCGAGAGAAGAATTAAAAAAATGCTTTGCAAGCTATCATCCGATTGAGACTGGCGAATTCACCTTATTTTTCACGAAAACACAGAGGCAAAACAGAACGCAGCCAGCTGCACCCCAGCCTCCCTACCCACTGCATTATGTTTTAAAAAATAAAGAATCTGAATTTAAACTCAATTTGTCTGACTTACATTTATCTCTTTCATATCATTAATGCATAGATCTATGCTTTTGATGTGATATGCAACCTGCCTGACTACATACAGTAGCCTTGGCATCCAGGATGTTGTGTCCATCCTGCAAACCTTGCAGGTGGAGAAGCTCATTAAGCTCTGTCTGGCCCTGCCCATGTCTGTCGCGGCATCCGAACGCTCTTTCTCAGCCTTGCGCAGGCTGAAAACCTGGCTGCGCAACACCATGACGCAGGAGAGACACATTTGGCCATTATGAAC